TCGTTTTGTTTCATTTCTTTTGAGTTTTTTGTTTAGTATTTCAATATGTGTTTTGTTTCGTTTCATTTCCTTTTGATGGATTTTTATTTTATTTAGTGTTTTGTTTTGTTTCGTTACACTTTGATTTGTTTTGTGTTTTGTTTTTGTTTCATTTCATTTGATTTTTTATTAGTATTTCATTGTTTTTTGTTTCGTTTTGTGTTGTTTCATTTCATATAATTTCATAATGTGTTTTGTTTCGTTATATTTTCTTTTGATTAATTACATTTTGTTGTGTTTTGTTTTGTTCAGTTGTGTTTTTTGTTTTGTTTTGAGTTTTGTTTCGTGGTTTGTTTCATTACATTGTCTGTTTTGTTATGTGTTTTGTTTAATTTTATGTTTCTAGTTTAGTTTAGCTTAGTTCAGTTTCGTTTTTCAATTTTATGTTTAGTTTTGTGTTGTTAATTTTGTTGTTTGCAAAATTTCCAATTCAACACATCATTTAAATACAGTTTCATAAGAATGTAGGCTATCCATATTTTTTTTCTTCTTCATGCTTTGTTTAAAACATGTAAAATGACATCAAAAGCTTCTGAAAGATTTAGAGCTTTGAAATGTTACAAATTTATGATAACATTCAACATGTTTTTAGTTGCATCAAATTAAAAAAATGTTCAGTATTTGTCAAAAATTGCTGATAATGTATCCATTATTTTGATAACATTCATATCATGTAATCTAATTAAAATCTTGATGAAAACTTCAAGTAAACTGCAATGACATTTTAAAATACAGGATTTCTGCTACAGATGTCTCTAATCTCTTATCTAGTAATCTGTAACATCACATCAACGACTGAGGATTTGCATTAAAGGGATAGTTCACAAAAAAACTAAACATTTGTCATCATTTATTCCTCCTCCACTTTTTCCAAACCTGTTTGAGTTTCTTTCTTCTGTTGAACATGAAGCCAGATATACTGAAGAATGCTGAAAAAAAACAGCCTTGACATAATATTTATTTCTTCTATTCTATTGGTTTCCAACATTCTTTGAAATATTTTGTTTTGTGTTCAGCAGAAGAAAGAAACTCTTAAAAAGTTTGGTTGGTGAATGTTCATGTTTGTGTGAACTATCCCTTTAAATCTCCATTGGTATTCCGGCTGTGAGCTGCATCACAGGTTTCTGTAGGTGACATTCAGTGTGATTTAACGAGCGGATCTGCAGCAGCTACAAAATCTCTTATTCAGCCATGTATTAATGATAGATGCCTTTAAAAGCCACCCCCCGAAAGAGTTTGACATTGAGCGAGAATGAGAGAAACTTTTTTTTTCTTTTTTACCCTGCCACACTGATGAATAATTTCCCTCCATCGTTCTCTCTGTCCTATTTGAATCCCTCCCACTTTACTCTTTCCACCCTCCATCCATCATCTCTCCAGCTCCTCTCCAGAGACAGAAATCTCCACAGAGCGTTCTTTATCTGCTTTCCCTCAGATAATCCATCTTTATTCTTAACTCTGTGTGCTTTTGTGAAAGTCTTTAGTAAGTATGTGGTTGATCTAAAGGGGGGTGTTTTTTTTTTAAAGTGGCCCATTTGGCTATATTTACATTTCATAGTGTGTATTGAGGCTGATTGTAATTATAAATGGAATACAAACATAACAACTACAGCAATAAATGCTATTATGGGAGTTTGTGACGTGTATAGTTACAGGAACTGTTCAGGGTTTTAGAAAACTAATTTCAGACCATTTTTCTGATTGTATTTGCTCTTAAAATTGTAACTTTGCTGATGTAAACCATGCGAAAATGACACGAAGCACTTCAGCTTGAGCTTGACTATTTTCACATTTCTGGCTTTCTCAGTATTGGAAGTCATAGTTGGGCAAGCTTAGACTGCAGTGAATGTGAAAGTACAACAAGTCCTATATTTTTACAATCTTATTTGCTGAAATAATAGCATAAAAACTTGGTGATGGTGTTATCAAGACTTTCTGAAAAAGGAAAATTAAATGTGTGACTGATAAAAGCAGCTAGAAGAGAACAACTTCCAATGTATTGTCCTGGACCATACATTCTGCAGTTCAAATGCCTCACACAAGCAATATTTATTGTATACACATGATATAATACATACATAAAAACTTATGAATGTTTGTATGTTTTTTAAAGAATCTAAATATTAAAAACTTTCAAGGATTTAAGATGCTGATGACCATTAAACACATCATAAGAGTCTTGTGTAAAGGGTCCATCAACAAGTTTGGGATGGAAAATGGCATGATTGAAGTTGTATTGAAGAGCAATGGCATGATATGAATGTGTTTAATGTGTGTTTCAATATAGTGTAGAGCAGGGGTCTCAAACTCAAATTGGCAGGGGGCCATTTCACTGACTAACAATTCATAAGAGGGCTCTTTTAACAATCAAGCACAAGAAAAAAATTGAAATTCTGACATAATTGATGCATCTTAGAATAACAGACGTTGCATTTATATTTCAAGCATTACTTGTCATCAGTGATAATGCAAATTAGCATGTTTATCGTGTCACACATCAGCTGCTGAAATATATCTGTATACCTGCCAACACTCCGTTTTTGCTTCTTCTAACACCGTTTTTGTTACTATTTCTGGAAAACTCACGTAATTTCACCCCTATGCTATGAAAATACTACAAATAATAGGCATAATAATTTTTATTTTGCCCCAACCAATTGTATTGTCCCAATAGCGTAAGAACAGCAGAACAGTTGGATAACTTAAGTGATTTTACTGGCAATCTCTCTCAATATCTTTCTTTTTTTTTGTTTGTAAAACTACAACAAAGAGGGGAAAAGTTAAAGTATGTACATATTCACATTTACTTTAACACGTTCAATCCAACTAGCAGTACAATTTTACTAATACACATAGTTTTATGCAAATCTATTACATGAGACCATTTGATTGATCATATTTGTTACACCACCAGCATAATGTGTGAGCCATGAAGAAGTGTTTGCACAGCAAAATACAAGTGGAATAAAATTTATAATTTTGTTAATTATATATTTTAACATTTAAATCAGCCATAGAATTAAAATGAGTGTTTTACTCTCGACTGTACATTGAAAGAAAATGAAATTAAAACTAATCTGATTGCAGTACTTTAAATGTTGACTATGTGGCAGGTCGAAAACCACAAGTGGCTAGATGTGACCGCACAACAATGGTAGAGGTTTTTGTGGGCAAAATCTTTTTATCTTTTTGTCGTCAGTTATGGGCTGGAGGGAGGAGGAGGGTGTTCCATAAAAGGCCTGCTTGCCGGCAATTTGAGAGCCCTGGGAATATAGACGTCTAAAAGATGTGATTTAAACAGCCAATAGGAGAACTAAATCTGTCATGACGACTAATAGTTTTTTTAATTGCTGCTAACATCCAGAAAGTTTATGTCTTGAAAAATACTGTGCTGGTGTTTTGTTTGGCATGTGTTTGCCCAGTTTCGCTACTGTACTGTAGTTACTGTTGTGAAGAATTTAGACCCAGTTTTAAAATAAGAAACTACTTAGTTCCCAAATTGCTTTACTAAAATAACAAAAGTATTCCCAATTCTTGTAGTGCAAGTGGAACAAAAAGGGAAATTCCTCAAATTAGTTCTAGAAACTGTGGAAAAAGTTCCTCAAGTGTTAAAGCACCTAATGTCTATAGAACCCATTCAGACCTGAAACAAGTCAGGAGTAATTTGTTTGTTTGTTTATTTGACCTAATTAAAAATGTCTAAATCTGTCAAGGATAAAATACACAAAGCGATTGGCTTAATTCCATTGTGGTGCTTGATAAATAAGTCTCTTTTCCTGCCGAAACATACCCGGGTTTGTGGGTTCATCGGCTGCCCAAAAACTTTGACTCTCAAATGCTGTAATTGCAGTTGAGGTCTGGAAGAGTTTTGCAGGTGTTAGTAGTATATTAACAATATACTGTTTCTTGTGCTGTGAAAGCAAATTGACTTTGGTGAAGGATAATTGACACAATGAAACAATATAATTAAATTTGTATCACTTCTCCATCTTAAATACAAGGTGCAGTATGGGGTGGTTCGCCCTGGGTCGAACAACTACCATATGGAAGTAATTTAAGCCTTGTGACACAATTAGTAGCCTTTTTTACTATGAAACACTGTTCAGAGGGCGATAAATCCTTTTTAAAATACACTATTTGTTCCTGACATGTTTTGGAAGCATAAGACCAATCACAACATAGACTGGGCCATCAGACCAAGCAGAGCAGATGAGGGAGAACCAGATGATGAGAACCGTTTGATTCTGTCGTGTGTTTAATGGGACAATAAAAGTGTTTCTTAACCTTGAATGAATGTAAATCTGTTGTAGGCGACCTCCAAAACAAAATTAGGTGCCTATAATATATTATAGCATAATTGCAGCGATGTAACGATGCAGTATGATTTTGATGAATATCTTCAGCATTCTTTTCTATTTTAGTTTGGCTCGTAAGTGTCAGATGAAATGACAGTGACTCAGAGGGATAATCAATCAATCCATAATTAGTTTTTAAAAACTAAGAAGCTATTCTGTAGAAACTATGCAGTTTTTCCTTAAAACACCTTAGCAACAACAACACTGCAGTATCCTTACACTTCAAAGGCATAGTTCCTCTAAAAAATGAAAACTGTCATCATTTACTCTCCCTTCGTTGTTCCAAACCTGCTTGAATTTCTTTCTTCTGTTGAACTCAAAAGTTATTTTGAAAAAAGCTGGCATCATGTAATCATTGACTTTCATAGTATTTGTTTGTATGCATGTCAATGGTCACAGGTTTCCAGCTTTCTTCAAAATACCTTTTTTGTTCATCAGAAGAAAAACCTCAAAAGTTTATAACCCCTTGCAATGACATAAATAGTGGCTACATTTAGATTTGTAGGTGAACTATCCCTTTAAGCACTTTTGTGGTGTTGTGTTTGGCAAAGTCAGCTTGCATTTAGAATGTTCATTGAATGTGATTTGTCTGTCTCTGTCCTGCAGCGGTGTCTCTGCTGCCGCACAGGTTTGTGACGGTGCGCAGAGGAAGCCCAGCGGCACGCAGCGGTCAGATCAGGCCTGGCGATCGCCTGGAAGCTGTGGACGGCAGATCAGTGGTCAATTTACCTCACAGGGAGCTGGCTCAGATCCTGAGGAGAGCTGGAAACACTCTCCGCTTGACCATCGTACCTCGCGCCAGTGCTCGTGAGTGGATTATTTTATACACACCATAGGTTGATCATTTATTCAGTGCTGCAGTACTGCATGTAGAAGTTCTTGAAGAACAAGGACAAAGAAGGGAAACATTTTAGAATAAATGTGATCTTGGAAAAGTAAATCAGTCATAAGGGGCCAATTTGAGATTTATACATCATCTGAAAGCTCAATAAATAAGCTTGATGTATTGTTTATTAGGTTTAAGGTTAGGATTGAGGTTAGGACTGGTGGAGATGCTTTTTGGAAATCTGGAATCTGAGGGTTCAAAAAATAAACTATTTAGAAGATTGGCATTTAATATGGACAAATTAAGCTCTGCAGCACGGTGGCTTAGTGGTTAGCAATGTCACCTTACAGCAAGAAGGTTGCTGGTTCGAGTCCCGGCTGAACCTGTTGGCATTTCTGTGTTCTGAGTTTGTTTTATTCACGTGAGTTTCTTTCATTCTTTCATTGTTTTTTTATTCACGGTTTCCCTCACAGTTTCCCACTTATACTGCACATCCCACTTATACAGCAGTATAAGTGGGAAAACAGTGGATGCGAGTATGAATATGAGAGTGTATGGGTGTTTCCCAGTATTGGGTTGCAGCTGAAAGGGCATCCGCTGTGTAAAACATATGACTGAAATTAAGCTCTTAGCAATTCATATTACTAATCAAACATTACATTTTTTAAGGAAAGGCTTTCATTACAGATCTTCATGGAAGATAATCTTTTATAATTATAATTTAATCGTAATATTCTGATAATCATCAATACTCTGATGCTTTTAGTGTGAAATAAAAATTGATAATTTTAACAATGTATTGTTGGCTGTTCTCACACAGATACCCATGCAACATAAGGTTTTGTAATCAAGGGTCACTAATTTGAACTCTTTGGTTATCAAGACAATGGAAAACTAGAGAAAGCTCAAGTGTACGACATAAATATCTCTGAAAGAGATACAGTATATTTATTTATTATATTTTTAGTGCATAATAATTATATTTACATTGCTGTTTCATTCATAAAATTATAGAAATATTTATCTTAGAAAAAAGTTTTTAAAAGGTTCCATATATATAGCTGTTTTTATTTCATTTGAATTTATTTTACTTTATTGCTCTACTCTACATTTCTTTTGTTTTATGTTGTCTTCAAATGATTTAGACCAGTCTGATTTGGTCAGTATGTAAAAAGAAAAACATTATCTTATTTTTTTACAACTTATTAATACACATTTTAATGTTAAAGCTTGTTAAATATTAAGATCTTAGAAAACTGTTTACATTTATAATTACTGACAAATTGCTTTTTACTTTAGCAATATAAAAATATCTCATTGTGGGTCGACGACTTTAAATAGTTTAATTCCCTATAGCAAAATATATCTAATATCTTAATAATTATTTTTTTTTTAGATTCCTCAGAGCGAGCAGATTATGACCCTGATTATAAGAACAGGAAAACTCACAAGTCAAAACCAAAGGTGAGCAATAGCCTACAGTGCTTTTACATGTTCTGTGTGACAAAAAACGACAAAGAATAAGTCTCTTTTTCCCCCTTTAAACACAAAGCAGGATGCCACGCGGTACTACAGTGTGGAACTGGAGCGGGGTCCCACTGGATTCGGCTTTAGTCTGAGAGGAGGAAGTGAATACAACATGGGCCTATATGTGCTGGGACTGATGGAGGGAGGACCGGCCTCACGCAGCCACAAAATACAGGTGTGGATGAATGGGTGGCTTTTTTCTAGATATTTTTGTGGGAAAAACTTATTAGAGAGATTAAAATGTATACATGTTTATGTAAATGTTTTAATCTAAGTTGTATTTTTTAAGTTAGGGTTATTTTGTTATGACAAAGTCAGATGATGTAATAACTTAGACTATAATGTCTTAAGACATTATAGTGTCATTAATTACTTTATTATCAGATGTGTGTAAGATGGTAAAAAATGTTTAGATTTTGGGATATCAAATGCAATACTATGTAAATATAAAACTAGTTTTTTATATTTTTTGTCAAAAGAGTGTTTTGACTGTTTTTTTTTCCCCAGAGGGTTCCTCTTGACCCTTTTTTCAAAAGGTTTGGGGTCAGTATGTACATGTTATATATAACAGAGTATATACAGGAATCCGAGAATAAAATTCAATACCTTTTAAAACCTTTTTTAGGACTATTTCGAAACATTTGAGGACCTTATCACCACTTTAGCTCTGAACGGGTAACATTGGTGACATTTTAATTATACTCATTAAATACTGATTGTAAGAAACTAATTCTAAACTAAAACATTATTATACTTTATAAAAATGTTAATTCAGAAGGTTTCACCTATAGAACAGCAGAAACAATGGTGCTGCCTTGGTAACTGCAGTAAATAAAGGAGTGTGACATCAAATATAGCAGAAATTCATCGATTTTATAAACTACACAGCATCTCAAAACTTTAAACATTAGCATACAACTATACGTTTTTAAGGGCTTTAAATTTTTCTAAATTGATTTATCAACTTTTAAAACTTTTTAAGACCCTGCGGAAACCCTGTATAATCACTTTTTTTACATCAATATTTTCTATTATACAATATTTAAAAATTTATTTAAAACTTAAAATGTATCTCTATGCTATGGAAGTATCATATTAACTTTATATTATATTATATTACATTATATTATATTATATTATATTATATTATATTATATTATATTATATTATATTATATTATATTATATTATATTATGTTTTGTAAACACTAGCATTCAATGATAAATACAGTATAAAACGACTTTTGCTCAGTTTACAGTGCTATAGCTAAATAAAATATATTAATATAATTAAAAAAAACCTTAGAGATGCTAAACATTTGAACTATAACAAATTCCTGGCAAAATATAAGTTTGATAACTTTGAAAGGTGCCTCAGCAAGCGTCACATCTTTACTAAACCTATAGGTGCTACAGGAGATCTTAGAAAATGCTAACATTAGCCTGATGGCACAGAAAGCCTATGTAGGCTAAATCCCACCCTGCAAATCTCCATCCACGAATGCGCACTATTCAACATCACTACAACACATCATGTAACAATCACCAGAGGGAAAACAGTTATAGTACAGTTAGTATTTACAATATCAAACAAGATGGTAGGTTGTTGATGTTTGCCTGCCATTTTCTATCAATAATTTCACTGATGACATACTGCGCAAACAGGGTGTGCAGATATGTACAATTAGATACTGGACAGGCATATAGGACAGCCTATTGGGCAAACTTTTCTTGTTCCTACACCTTCTACTGAACATTTCAAATACAAATGTAATGACAAAATGTCAATAAAACAATTGTTTTAAGTTGCTTTAACTTATTTTAAAATGTTAATCAATTTTCACTTACGTTTTTTAAGTAAGACAAAGTTTAACTTTGAGTTGAGATGAGTAGAAAAGTTCATTTGATTTAACTAAAAAAAATAAAGCAGCAAGAATTATTTTACAGTGTATATATAAATACATTTGGATATGAAGACACTTTCAACTAACATAACAAAAATAATTTCTGAATACAATCACTTATTCACATCTGTCTATGACTAAAGACTGTACGAATGTAAAAATCTTTCGCAAAACTTTTATTCACAACTTTTAAAAGCACTTTTTGATTATGGCACACAGTGGTTTATCACAGTTGATGTTTTTTCTTTGCCAAACTCATATGTGTGTGTGTGTATTGTAGGTGAGTGATCAGTTGGTGGAGATCAACGGAGACAGTGCAGCAGGAATGACACACAGTCAGGCAGTGGAGCAGATCAGGACTGGAGGAAGCAGGATTCACCTAGTCTTCAAAAGAGGAAACGGATACGTTCCTGACTACGGTAAGACGACTCAGCTAAATATAACTCTGACATTATCATATAGATATTATCAAATCTAAGATATTTACATTATGACATTTACAGAATCACTGGATTTTAGTCACTGGGTTATAGCTGGGGTTGGGTATCAAGACTGTTTATATTTTAGAACCAGTTTAAAATTTCAAAGAACAAGGTATTCGATATGATGTGCACATTTCGATTTAGTTGATCCATTCCTGATTCTAACTTTTGCATGGCAAATGGCAGTGATCCTTTTATAGTTGTACCTATCAGCTAGTATGTCACTCATATTTCAACAAAGTAGCAACTTTAAAGTAAAACATTTTATCTACAGCAGGCGAATGTCTATAAAGACTCATTACAACTTATCATAAGCTTTGAATTAATTGTGTGTGTGAGACACTATGAGTGATTGTTACATCTGTAGACAGAGCTACACGAGAGTGTTCTTTCACACAGTCTAATCTCACTTAATTATTTGATGAATTCTCTCAGTTTAACAAAGAGTTCAGTCTGTCATTTACTCACCCTTTATTGTTACAAACATTTTTTTTTTCCTATTAAAAACAAATGAAGATATTGTGAAGAAAGCTGGAAACCTGTAACCATTGACTTACATAGTATTAGCTTTTTCTATATGGAAGTCAATGATTACAGGTCTCTGATATCTTCAAAATATCTTCTTTTGTGTTCAACATAAGAAAGAAACTCATACTATAGAGGTTTGATACTGTTTAAGGGTGAGCAAAAAGTGAGTAAATTGAATCTTTTGGGTGACATTTAACAGTTACAGTACAGCCTAAATACAATCCATAAATGTGGCAATAATAAGAACCAGAATTGATAAGCAAAAATGGAACTGAAATTGCAACAATTAAAATGATACCCAACCCTAGTTCAAGCCTAGTCTGGGGGGCTATTTCTGCAGAGGATGTTATTTAAAAACATCTACAGAGTGATCTTGAGAGTATAGAAGCTAAAAAAAATTACATAAAATAAAAACAACAATAAAAGAAACGTTTAATTGAATAAGACAAATCCAATTAGATCCACTTGTTTAGTAAATAAAGCTACAGCAAATTGCAAGTCTCATAATGAATTTTTTATAACATAGACATCATCACAACACTTTATACGGTATAACTGCAGGTTAACTATGTTTATATTACTATACACAACTCTTAACTTTTCAAACTTTGACTAATGTAGTAATTATAATGTGAATTTTCTTTTTTTTAATAGATGAGTTCTGCATTTAATTTAGCATTGTAAAATCTACACCTTCATTTGCCTTAAAAAAAAAAACAGATAAAATATTTAAATTAGGATAATGTTGTCTTCTGATAACTTCCTGACCCTAGAGCTATACATGCCATATATTTCCAGATTACTGAAAGTTTACAGCAATACATTTGCTACTTTTGTACATTTTGTCTTATCAGTCAAGTAAAATCACTGTCCATTGAAACAATTCCCTTTTCATTCTCTTGGATGCAATGGTGATGCGATGGTGTTTAAAATAATGAACACATTCATGTGCGTGATTCAACATGACTTAAATTCTGCATTTTTTAATCTAAATATTTTTAAAAATTAATATTTTTTTAAAGTAATGTGTTACTTTACTCTTTACTTAAATAGTAATATTATTACGTAACTCGTGTTACTGTAATGCGTTACCCTTAACACTGGTTATATATAGTGATCTTTATAGATGTAAATATGTATTTTATGTGATTGTTTTGAATGGTTTGGTCAAAAGTGAGTGTATTTGCTTCAAATGTTTCTCATACAGTCCAATTGAGTCACATTCTAATGTTTATCCTGCTTTGGTTGTATTTTTATCACTGTCAGTCACTGTTGTTTTATACGACAGTCTTTGACTAGTTATTCAGTTGTATTTCTCTTTATCTCTTATCAAACTAACACTCTGCTTTCTTATCTTGGACTTTTCCCTCTTTTCTATTCTTTTTGATTTAATATTTTTCATCTTTTTCATTTTTGTTGTCTTGTTATCAAATTATTTATGCTCCCTTTCACCAATTTGCTTTTGAATTTGCATCACTTTGTTTGATTCTCCTGTTTAATTTTCCCGTCTGATTTTTTTATTGTATTTATTTCCTAATAACCCTTTTTTGTTTGCCTAATTAAATTCTCCTAACTTCCATGAGGGAATCTTTTCTATTGCTCCATTTCATTTAATACTTTGTTTTCATTCTCTGGGCCTTCCCTCTTTATCTTTCTCTTTTTCTCTTTCTCTTCTTCCTCCATCAGTGGAGCTCTCCAGTCTCTCTCTCTGTATGACCAACTCCAAGCTGGGCGAACCATGTTTCTATGTGATTGGAAGGACAGAAAATACGCGGTTGGTAGCTGTTCCTGTTAGTTCTCCATTTTACTGTTTCTCTACATCTCTTTCATATTTCTCTGTCGTCTATAAGTCTTTCTGATTCCCGGTCTCCCTGTCATTTGTCGATTATACCCATGTGATGTCAATCTGTTTGTGATGCATAGTTACATGAAAAGTAATAGTTTAAAGTTTTTGCCTCTTCTAAAGCATAGAAATATCATATTTGCAGATATTTGAGGAACATGCTAAGAGAACAGTCTTGTTTGTCAGAAAAACAATGCAAAATTTAAATATACTGCTTTGAAAATGGGCTTTCCATGCCAGTGTTGTGCCAAGAAATGCATCCCTGCCGCAAAATGCACCCCCTCATTAGCATTCTCAGTCTACATTTAAAAATAAAACTAAAAGCCATAACTGAATAAAATCTAAAATAAAGAAAGGACAAGTGTTGTGCATTTTAAAACGCACTAGGTTTACCAATAAATGTAAACTAATAATATTGACTGTAGTGTAGCCTAAAATGAGGCTTTATGGTGGCTTTTAAACAGACATTTAGGCTACATGGAACATAAAATTGTTGTTGTTTTAAACTAAACCACACATCAAACAATTTACATTCATATTGTATTTAACGTCAATCTTTGTATTTATTTATCTTCTGTAAGGGAAGGGTTCCATTTATGAAACTCACCTCAATCACTCTCATTAGTGTCATGACTTTTAACCCGCCCACTGCCAGTTTAGCCAATTATATTTTATTTTCCTGGGTTGCCTTCATGGAAAACAACATATTTCAATCATTCAGTCAGGAAGGCTCTCAAAGCATGTGCCTGGGATCACAACTGCTACCTCCGGTGGACAGTGGACATCTTTAACATGATTAAATTTAAATGCTGAATCACTGACATTTGTTGGCTTGCACTGAAGTTCATTTTCAAAGGGTTTATTTATTTTCAAAATCTGAACTATCTGCTGCTGCTTTTACTTGTATGGCAATAATGGTCTAGTAAATTGGCATTCAAACTCATATTATTAGCATTTGACATTGAATAAAGCACTTGATGTGATTGTTGCTTACCTGTGAGAAATAAAAGCCATTTCTAAATTAGAAATTTCAGGTGTTGGTTAGGACAAAAACTACTCTTAGTATGGAAAGTATTTCCTCTATCATGTGCCATTGCTTTTAGTTAGAAAATGGTTTAAATCAGCCTTAAATCAGCCTTTAGGCTCAATAGTCAAGCACACTCACATCAATATGGCAACTGCGCTTGCGTTGATTCGTCAGAAGAGGAGCAGAGTGAAAATATGTTTTGATCCAGGAGTTCAACACCAAGGTCAACCACTGGCTGTTAAACTTACATGTTGCACTTTTAAAATAGTGATGATGTTTGTGGATAATTCCAGATGTAGCTAATTAACTTCCAGTTATGGTTATTTATTAATATTTTAAATATTTCAATTAAACTTATAAGATGACTAAGATTAATAATAAAATAGTTTGAGGTGTCTTTACAAAAACTTAACAAATAAAGCATAATCTGTCTGGCATGATGACATTACCTACACAAAATAACTTGTCATAAATCTGTCATGAACATGATTCATATGAAGCCAATATAACTGTCATGAAAAAATATTTTTGATCACTTTTTCCTTTTGATACATTTTTTTGCTATTAAAATTCATTCATTAATTTTCCTTCAGCTTAGACTCTATTTCAGAGGTAGCCTATAACTATTCCAGCATGTGTTTTACACAGCAGATGCCCTTCCAGCTGCAACCCATTACTCGGAAACACCCAAACACACTCTTTCACACACACTCATACACTACAGCAAATTTTTTTTATTCAATTCACCTATAGCACGTCTTTGGACTGTGGGGGAAAACCAGAGCGTGCAGAGAAAATCCACACCAATTTAGGGAGAGCATAAAAACTCCACACAGAAATGAAAACTGGTCCAACCAGGTCTCGAACCAGCAATCTTTGTGCTGTGAGCCACCATGCCACCTGCTATTAAAATGTATTATTAAAAGTGTCAAAATACTGTAGTGTATAATATTCTGACAATATGTAGACAGTATAATGACCTTGTGACAATCATGACAAGTTATGTTGTCTTCGAAATGTCAAATTGCCATGACAAACAGGTTATGATGTATTTGGTTATGTCAAGTTGTCATACCAAAGACATTTCAAACAATGTCATCTTTCCATTTAATGACATAACTGAGTGAATGACACTTAATGACACTTTCCAGAAGTATGCATAAAATCTCATTTATTTTCATGATGTGTCTTAAAACCCCCTTTAAGTAAAGTGTTACCAATCTTTTTTCAGTGTTTGTATATAAAGAGAGTTAGAAAAATAGGGAAAAATTAGCAAAGGTATGTTTATAAACCAATTAAATTAACTTAATTATGGAACAAAAAAAATCCAAACATTCAGAATTCAGAGTCAAGCTTCAGATGTTTCTGTAAGAGAATAGTTTCACCTTTTTAAAATATTTGGGTCAGATTGCAAGTATAAACACATTAATTATGATTTTAGGAACTGTTTTTTATTTCGCCCTTTCAAAATGTTCTCCATTTATTTTAAGTGCATTCATCTCCTTGTCTAATGAGAGAAAATATGTTGCAAGATCTTTTGATATTTGCAGCAATTATTGGCCCTCTCATCATCACTTCACATCAATGGTGTATCTTTTTCTTCTGTTTATCTTGAATGGTAATTAATTTCTCCTCACAATGACTTGACAAAATGGCTGCACTATTCTTACAAATCTAAATGGAAATGATAGTCTCTTAAAACAACAATAGTTAATTATATTAGACAATTAAATTTTTTGTAATCTTGATTTTTTTTTTAAACACTTGTTTAAACTGCGTAAAGTGTCCCATTTAATATTTTCGATATATTTATATATCATATATCATCGTCATCATGTAATATTAACTTTGGAAGCCCTAATTATTTCAGTTTATAATATTTGTAAAAAATTTTATCTTTCTTTTTCTTCTCTCTTTACTGTTATGTCATACTTAATGCATACAATTAACTAGTTCATAATTAGCATATCAAACAGGCATTTTTGCATTTCAAAGCTTCTTAGCGCTCAGTTTTAATGAGTCAGTTGCGGCTTTAAATGTGAAGCACGCCGCACATTCAGAATGACCTCAAAGTCCTGACTGAAGAGGCTGACAAAAGACCCCAGCGACACGCTTGAAGTGCTCAGGAACATTCATTGTGATTGATTTTCAGAACTCTAGAAACCATAATTGACTTTTCATTTTACTTGAACTTACTGAATATTTACTTGTTTTGTCTTCTCAAATCTGCACTGAACTTTTTGTAACATTGTTTGTTAGTGTCAAAAAATCGACCAAAAAAAAGAAGGCTCTGTTATTATTACTTAATCTCATAGTGTTCCAAACATGCTGATATTTTTAAAAGTGAAACACAAATGACTTTATTTCAAATTTCTTTTTATTAGGTTTTCTACATTGGATATCAATTACAACATTCATTTTATAATTATCCTTCCATGTTGTTGCTAACACTCCCCTTAAATAAACACTTCCCTCCCTCAACAGCCTAAAACATACCATTGAAAAAAAACTGAAAAAACATAATTAATAAGTACAGAAACTAAGAAAACAATAATACATATGTATTCATATTTCTCAGCTTAAGAATCAAAAGAGTTAGCCAGCAGATAATCTTAAAAGGGGCGCCACACCTTGTCAAAGGTCTTTAAAGAACTAGTAAGTCTCTTTTTTTAATTTAATGCAAGTAAACACTTCTTTTTAGCAACTACATGTTTTCATTTTAAAAGGATAGACATCTTGCTAGTAAAGTAGTAAAAGCAAAAGCTTTTCAAACCATTCAAATGACTTTAAAATTGAATTTAAAAATGAATTTAAATTAATTGTTACATACCGAGAGTGTGAAATGTAAGTGAGGATCCAAATGCAAGACAGGCTAATAGGACAATCCAAAAACCAGTTGAGGCTCAGGACAGGCAGCAAACATTTAGAAATAGTAAAGCATTTAGAAATCTACATACAAACAATACAATTGTCCAGCTAATGTGTATCAGCTGGATAATTAATCAGTTCAGTGGTTTATGGGAAATAGACTTTCTCAGAGTAACAGAATTCAATAATAGAGTGTCCCATAGTGGAGCTTGTGGGCATTTTAGCTGGTAATCCTGACAATAATTCTTTAAAGTCTATATAATACTAAAATATTGTTTATATAACAATGTTATTTTAAAGAGCAGTGAGTGAATCAAATGTAAATCACTGTGCTCTACCAGATAAGTTTGGTGCTGTGACCAAATTTCTTTCAAATGACAAGTACCAAAGAAGGTCTGCACTCAAAATCAGAAGAGAAAAAAAAAAATTCAGCTGTGTGCCTTCATCAGTTAAAGACAGCAGTTAGTGACCATAACCGTCAAGCTCTAAATTAAGCTTTTATTAAAACTATTTTAATAAGGTTCTTTTAATTGCATTTAAAATGTAAGTTAACTATAGTCTGTTAAATAGACTTAAGCATTCATTTAGTTGTTCAAGTGTAAAACTAGATGAACGGCTGTTTAAACGCAAGCGCTGTCAGGAGCAGCAGGCAAGCACCAAAACTCCATTGAAAATAACAATAGATTTAATGCAGAGCTGCTTGTTCAGTATGAGACCCACTTTATAATGTATCTAAATCAAGCAGTAAAGATCATTGACTTTAAGCAAACCATTCCTTAAACGTAGCAAGTTTATAATGGTATAACAGTTTACCAGAAGTACCTGAGCTGGCTTATTTTAAATTAAAGCATATAGCCCATTATTATAGCAAAGCCCTTGGTTCTCTGAGTTATTGGTTTGACTTTGTCAATATTTACAATTTATATTCCATGTTTCCCTAAATTCATCAAATTTTGTCCTTGCCGTGTCCTTGTATTTGCTGGCATTGTGCTTCTTTTGTGGAATCTTGGACTAACAACTATTCAATTTGCCAAAAAATGTGCCACCCCCCACACTCCTCTCCTCTGCCATTTAATTTGCTGTTATTGTGCATTTTTGTCAATTTTGGAGCTTGGCTGATATTGTCCTTATCAGGGCTATTATGACAACACATAAACCCTAAATATATGATATGAGCAATATACAATATACTCGTAGCAGAGCCTTATGGCTGTATATCGGCACTGGTGGGAGGCATAAGCAGCCTCATGCCTTAGTGTCCCACCAGTCATGATAAGTTGCCATATTGCACTGCTACGAGTGTGATATTGTAAGTATATAACAATTCGACAACATAATAATGTATATAAAAAAGAAAATCAAACACGAGAGTCTAAAAATCCTTTTGTTAGAGGAAGTTGTTACTCACATCTGCAGCTGACAACGTTAGAACAGCAGAAGCTGTTACTTACTCACCAACGTCACTTTAGAGCTAGTATTTTAATGATTCTTTAGCATAATATCTAAAATAATGACAAAACAGGTGATAGTGCTCACATTTTAAGATTATAAGGCTGAACGGCATGAAATGCCATCAGTCTACAGACATTTCCTAGTATTTCTCTGTTGCAATCAGGGAATCACAATAATTATCCCTGAAAAAGCTAAAGCAGCATAAACACTACTATATTACTGTTGTGTTTGCGATAAGGAAAATGCTAAACACATGCAGGCATTTCTTCTCTCTTTCTTTTTACTGAACTAATCTGTAGTAACAAAAACAGGAGACACATTAGAACCAAACATAAGGCTAACCAAAAAAGTAACTCGGAGTTATAAATAGAGTGGCCACCACAAAGTACATAAATTCCTGATATACAGTCCCATTTCACACTCAATAAACTACAATTACTATGGTATAAATACAAGCACTACAACATACAACAGAGCGAGATCAACTTTAAATATAACTTACCAGTTTTATAATGATTTGATTAGCTGTAGTTAAAAATAATGAGTTCCTCTCCTTTAAGGGCTTATTAAGCTGTCTCTGTCACCATCTTGTGGATGGACAACATCAACTTTCTCACTATCTTTTTCACTATCCTTATAAATAAACTGCATAGTTGCAATCTAGACAACTGTATTCTCACCTAAAAAGCAGCAAAAATACATTATGTTGTCCAACAGCAGCAATATTTGTCAAACTGTAGTGAGTTTATTGATCTGCTGTCACTCTATGTGGGCAGAGTAATACAGAAGGATGAAGAGACTGTAAGTGCTGTTATTGCTGAATATTGCACAGCTATCAGCCCATCAGATTCAAGAACCAGACAGAACTGTTGTATAAATATATATACATATAGTACATACATACAGTATATATTGTGTGTTTGGTTAAAAAACACTCTTGCAGTAATGCAGTAATTTACCTAATCACATGTGTAAATGTTTTCTGTGATCTATCCCATCATTAAAGTTTTTTTCCTCCATTTCTGTTTCTCTTTCTGTCCTCATCTGTCTGTCTGACTTTCTCTGTCAGACCGTGATCACATCACAGCCGTCTCCTCCTCACCCCAGCCCCTTCAGTCGAATTTGGCTGCAGTGAGCCACCACCGGCCTCAACGGGACGCCACATCCAGCCTTCAAAAACCAGAGAAGACCAACCGAGGGTGGAAAGAACCGAGGGAGAGGAGTGACGGAGGAGACCGCGAGAGCCCTGCAAGACTCAAGGGTGACCGTCAGGGCAGAAGGCGAAGGTCAAGAGATGATGAAAGGAGACGAAGGTCATACAGCTTGCCTAGAAACACACCAAGAAGACACAGCGATGAAAGCATGAAGGTTGAAAAGGTTGAAAGAAATGGGAGAGAGATGGAAAAAGGTAACAAGAGGAGCGTGGACAGGCCAAAACGTAGCAAGAGTGAGGAGAGGGTGAGAGAAAGAAAGAGAGAAGGAGATGAGAGTAAGAACACACAAACCATCAATAAACACAGACTTCCTCAGCCCAAACTGCAGTGGGAGGAAAATGAGGAGGAGGAGGAGGAGTGGGATGGAGAGACTGAGCAAGAGTGGACAAGAGAGAGAGAAAGGCTAAAAGACAAAAAACGGGAGAGGGAGGAGATAGCGTCTCTTGATTCAGAGAGCGACGGGGAATTAGAAAGCGAAAATGAGAGTAAGATGAATGTGGAAGTGCTTGAGTGGGAGACGAACAAAAAAACCCATCAAGACATTTCTGAGGAATTGAACAGAGAGCAAGATACAAGTTTCCATAAGCGCTTGCCTTATTTGGGCATTCGTGTACTTCCTCCAGACACTCAGTCCCGCCCTCTTAGACGCATTTCTGGCCACTCATTGGAGGAGCCCGTAGGGAAGAATGAATTCAATAGGACGCCGTTTGCTTTCCTTACAACTGAGCAGTCTGATTACGCAGAGTCGGAGTCAGGAGCCAGTGTGTCTGAGTGTAGCATATCGGCAGCCAGTATCTCTGGTCTATCAGTGTATATGACAGAAAGGTGTCATTTAAATAGCAAACACAATTCCCAGGAGCCCTTACTTCCAGGCCTGTGGTTAAAACCGAGCTTGGAGAGACTCATTAGAGAGGGTAAGGAGATCAGGATGATGGGGAAAGGTGGAGGAACAGAATGTTGATTTATTGTCTTTTGCTAAGGTCTCTTACGCTGGTGAATTTGCTCATATTTAGGTTTAACGTTGCAATAAAGCCAAAAGTGGCAAGGGATAGTTTATTGTGTATTGTAACACACTTCTAAATGAATTAGATAAATTTAAACTACTTTTAAATTAAATTAAATGAGCTAAAACAACACAATTCTTGAGATTTTATTGGGACAAATACATTTTTTATGTTCAATGCACATACATTTGTTAAACCTGTTAAGCTAATCCTTTTGTGTTGGGACAAAATAGAAAAATAAAATGCAAAATGCATTCAATTAAAATGTTACTTTCAAATAAAAAAACAACATTCTAAACTGTAAAGTGAATGTATTTTCATCAAATAAGTCTTTTTAAAGCAAATAGCAATTAAATGTCTTTTGACGCCAAACTTTTAAACAGTATTCAATAGTTCATGTTCAAAACATTGAACTCTGAATGATTTTTGCAATATTGTGCTTGTCTCCTTGAAACACGTCCTATCTCTGCTAAATTCATTTTCGAAGGAAGGATCTACTTCTTTTGGAAATAGGCACATTTTACAGGTTAAACAGTTGAGTTTAGCCTTTTTTTTACCCATTCAGCTGATCTCTAGTCCTGGTGGGAGCACATTTAGCTTAGCATAAATCATTGAATTGGATTAGACCATTAGCATCTCATTTTACTATTTTTTTAGTACATGATTTAACTACAGAATAATCACACCTTAAATAGGAAAATACTATAAACTCTTTAAAAAATTTTTAACTAGATGGTAATTGTATAATATGATACAATGATTTATGCTAAGCTAAGCTAAAATTGCTCAAAATGAATTAATTGTGTGAAACAATGCATTTTTTATTTTGTACAGAGCAAAAAATCCACAATTACACACAAATTGAGTTGGGACAAGATGAATTAATTGAGTTAACTTATTAGTTTTTAATTAATAAATGAATTATTATTTAAGTAGGTTGAATATTAAACAGTTAAGCTGTCCCCCAAAAAACTCAAAAACTGTGTTGTTTTGGCTCATTTTAAATAAGTAGTTTGACCAAACAGCAAAAGCAACATTTTTTATAGGACCACAGAACCAGCCATAGGGGTCTTTTTTTCTAATTTGAGATTACATTATCTATAGGCTGAATTAATAAGCTTTCCATTGATGTGTGGTTTGTTAGGACTGGTCATCATTTGGCTGAGATACAATACAACTATTTGACAATCTGGAATCTGAGGGTTCAAACAAATGAAATTACTGAGACAATTGGCTTTCAGTTGTATATTGCGATTTAAAACTAGATCTGTGGTTTTGTGGCTGTCCTACAAAGTCAGTGTGCTGAATCGTTCACATGCTGCATCCTTGTACTCATGACGCAGAGTTCTCGGGTATCAGTCCTGTGAATACTTAAGTGGGTGGCTTTTTTGACTTTAGCAGTAAGCAGTTTAAATGCATTTACATTTATACATCAAGCAGGGGCTTATGCAACCAGACTTGCAAAAGAGGAAAATAACAAGCAGTTCGTGCCAACAGTTTCATAGTACACAATGCCAAGATGCCAAGTTTCAAGTAGAAGTCTGTTTAGTGCACAACCATCTAGAACAAGTTACCAACTGCAAAGAATTCACAAAAAGCATTATAGTTTTGTTTTGCACAAGCAAACACCATTTACAGGAAAGAAGTATATAAATATATTCTCTCCCACTCCAGCTTGCTCTCTCAGGCATACAGTATCTCTCCCCTCTTCCACTTTGTCCACTACAAAGAAAGTCTGCAGTTATCAACACAACATCTTTATTTTTGCACCAGACTGTTTGTACAGAATGAACTCATATGCAACAAAATGATTGTGTGTGTTGGGTCAATTATTTTCTTTAATGTTATAGCAAAAGTAAGGTTCTTACCTGTAGCCCAGATGTTCTTTTTTTCTATTCAGAACCAAGTTTGGAGTCACTTTAATCTTAAACAATGCTCCATGTCAACCAGAGAAAGTCTATCATTTTATTAGCTACAGATCAAATGCTGAATGATGATTATTATGTGCTACTGTTCAAAAGTTTGAGGTGAGAAAAAGAATGTATAAAAACCATGAAAAACGGTAGATAACAACAACTGTTACAGCATTTAAACACTGTAAAACCCAACACTCAACATTTGTATATGAAATGAGTGTAGTTCATTCAAAATTGACTTAATTCTACACATTTAAGAACTCAGTGTTGAAGGTAATGAGTTTATTAAATACCTTATTACTTTAACTCAAATGGAGTAAGTTCACAGTACTCATATAGATTTTTTTTAACTCTAATGGTTTAAGTTGCCTTAACTTATTGGGTTTTACAGTACTCGATAGGTTTGAGGTTTGTTCTTCAAGTTCAAGTTCAAGTCAACTTTATTGTCAATCAAACCATGCAACAGTACATTACACAGAAGACTGAAATTGTGTTTCTTCCATACTCCAATGTGCAATTTAAAACAAAAAATATGACACACACTAGACATAAACTAAACATTTAACTAATACAGTACAAGAGAAATTTAATAAATAGACACTAATAAACTGTGAACAATTACCAGATATTCTATTGTTCCAGAATATGACCATTTATTGGGTTTTACTGTGCTCAAATTGCTTCATTTACTCAAAAAGATTAAGTTCACAGTACTCATTAGGATTAGTTTTTGATTTTAAATGGTTTGTTGCAATCAGTTTCCTCAAATGATTTGAGTTACTTTACAGTAATATACAGTAATTTAAACATAAAAAATGTTTCCTGAGCCCAAAATTAGCATATTATAGTCATTTCTGGTAGATTATAGGAAACTACAGACAAAATTAACGGCTGTTGAATTGGTTTTGTCATTACTAAAATACATTAAAATGTTAATATGTTCAAATTAATAAAACAACATTCAAAATTGTAATATATGAGTGTATTTTCATCAAATAAGTATTTTTGAGTAAATAGCAATTAAATGTCTTTAAACAGCAAACTTTTGAACAGTATTCAATAGTTCATGTTTGAAACATTGAACATTGAAGGATTTTGCAATACCTATTGTGCTTGTCCTCTTGAAACAGGCCCTATCTTTGCTAAATTAATTTTTAAAGGAACGCTCTACTTTTGGAAATAGGCACATTTTAGAGGTCCTCTGGAGTTGAATAGTTGAGTTTAGCCAATTTTGAACCCATTCAGCGGATCTCTAGTCCTAGCGGGAGCACATTTAGCTTAGCGTAGCATAAATCGTGGAATTGGATAAGAGCATAAGAGCATCACTTTAAAAAAATAAAGAGGTTTTTGAAACTTTTAATATTCTATTGGACTTAGTACATAATGTAAATACAAAATAATCACACTTTAAATAGGAAAATTCTATAAACCTTTTATTTATTTATTTATTTTTTTAATGAAATGCTAACTTCTTAATCCAATTCAATGAATTATGCTAAGTAAGCTTAAAGTGCTTCTGCCAGCCCCAAAGATTGGCTGAATGGATTTAAAAATAGTCAAGCTCAGCTATTTAACTCTAATATGAGCCTACTTCCCCCAAAAAGTGGAGCATTCCTTTGAGGGGTGATTGCCTAGGTAAACCTTCTTGTGAATGACGTGTCTACATGTTAACTGTTAAAAGGCCATAAACTGTATTTGCCATATTTCTCTAAGAGCATCCCGTACAAAGTATAGATAGATGATTATTTGCTGTGCCCTCTGGGTCTCTGATATCTCAGGGAACAGATATGTAAATATAATTTTATTTATGTATTTATTTTTGGAGCAAGCCCTATACAGTAAATACCCTCAAAGTAGCTCCTGTTGTTGCCTTGCAAACAAAAGTCTTCTCTTGTCTGCTGACCTTGGCCTCTGTGATCTCAATACTTTTTTTGCTATTTACAGTGAAAAGTCTACTGTATTCCCCTTGAATCATTTCCTCCAGCTTTGAATAACACTCGGATTGACTCCAAATAACTGACGGAGATGCAGTATGTATTCATTTCAGATGCAGTATCTGTTAAACTCTGACGTGAATCTCTATGAAATATGAATAGTAATCAATAAAAAAGACAATGACAGAAGTTGTGTCTGTCAACCAAATAAAAAAGAGAGACCATTGTGCAGAATGTTGGTACCGATGAGTTGAAGTTTGCAATATTATGAGGCTTAGCGCCAAGCCTGCAAAACCTCTTTAGTTTAATGCACCCAGGGTTTTTTCTCTTTATCTTTATTGATGAATTAGTAAGAGAGAGGTTGACTGTATTATGCTCTTGTTAACTGTAGCTTAACTAAATATACTGATATTTTAGCATTAACCTCACAAAAAACTGTGCCTACTACTGTATTTATCAGTTGTGTTCCTCCATTCAATTAAGTTCAAGTCATCAAATGCAAAACATCACCTAATATTGTCCATCCTGTGTGTTCTACTCTTGTATGCACATTTAAACTATGCATAAGACGATGCCATTTAGAATAATTGGGAAAGCAGTGTAAACCTGTGCACCCCAGCAGGTCTGGGATCAGCGTGTTGAAGTCAGTCGGGTGTTGGTGGTCCGCATATTTTGAAACATATCGTAATATTCAGAGTATGAGCCAATGCCACATAAGCTTCACTAACATCTCTGTATTAAGTACACGTGCAGTCTGAAGGGCCCATTTTAGAGTCTCTCGATGTCCATACTAATGTCTATGGCCATATGTACCAATTGTAAATACATATAAATATATAATTATAGTTCTATATATACATATGATATTATGTTTCTATTATGATTATATTGTTATAATCCATTGTAACCCAAATGCAGGTAACAAATTATATTAAAGAGTTATATTAAACAGTTATGTATCTACCTGAGATCAGCCTGGAGTGCATTTTCTTGCTTTGTGTGCATGTCTGTGTGTGCATGCAGAACTGAATGTGGGTGTAATTTCTGCCCTGAGCAGTAGATGACACTAAAGCATATTGAAAAAGTACCTGATTCCATTAATATAATAGAAATAACATTTTTTATTATGTTATTTTTTGAGATATTATTATTATTATTATTTATATATGTTAAAAATTGTGGAATTGTATGTTTATGGTATGTTTGTGTTTCATTTAAATGAATGAGCACAGTTCTGTTATAATGGACAGTAATTCATCTGTATTTCTGTAGCACTTTTACAATGTAGATTGTGTCAAAGCTGCTTCACATAGAAGATTATAGTGTATTGAAACGGTGTCAGTTCAGTGTTCAGAGTTTAAGTTCAGTGCAGTTCAGTTCAGTGTGCTTTAATATTCAGTACTGAAAGTCCAAACACTGAATAGCAAATCCATCGATGCACAGCTCTACAATAGTAATGGTAACAAAAGAGTAATGGTTTAACACAGTTCCTTTATTGCCAGGCTGGTTTCCAGCCATTTTCAGCCTGGTCTGGTCAGGCTGGGAGATGACCAGCTAAAACCAGTCTGGTCAAGCTGGTTTTAGCTGGTCATTTTCCAGCCTGACCATAAGACCACGCTAGAATGACTGAAAACCAAACCAAAACCCTTAAAAACCAGGCTGGTTGACTAGCTAAAACCAGCAGGTCTTTTTTAGTTTTTTTTTTTACATTAGGCTGATTAAATTTTTTTATTATTAATATTAAAATGCTGTTTAAGCCAGCAAATCATTATTTAGTGTTGTCAGGTTATCATTGAATCAGTTAAAAAAGTTATTCCACTAATAAATAAATAGATAAACAAACAAGCAAGCAAACAAAAGAACAGCAATTGAAATCATCATATTGAAAACTACAGAAATTCCAGTGGTTTCAACTACAAATACTATTAAAAACTTTACAAACTGATCAACTGTTTTTAAAGAAGTAAAAATGTATACAAATGTAACAAAGTCATTGTTTATGTTTTCTACAGTGATTTGGGAAATAAAGCAAAGGACGGTTTTAAAAAAAGAGAAAAAAACTAAAGAATAAAAATAATAACGGGAGCGACACGGTGGCTCGGTGGTTAGCACAGTTGCCTAATGGCAAGAAGGTTGCTGGTTCGAGTCCCGGCTGGGCCAGTTGGCATTTCTGTGTGAAGTATGCATAGTCTCCCTGTGTTCGTGTGGGTTTTCTCCAGGTGCTCCGGTTTCCCCCACCTTCCAAAGACATATGCTATAAGTGAATTAAATAAACAAAATTGTCTGTATAGTGAATGTTTGTGAATGAGTGTGTATGGATGTTTCCTAGTACTGGGTTGCAGCTAAAAGGGCATCCGCTGTGTAAGACATATGCTGGATAAGTTGGTGGTTCATTCTACTATGGTGAACACTGGTGAATAAAGGGACTAAGCCGGAGGAAAAAAGACCCAAAAGAAACCATTAAAGACCCAAAGAAACCATTAAAATGGACAAATTCTGTTCGGGTTTTCTGTTGTTAGTTTTTTTTTAGTTAGTAAATCACTCTCTATTTTACTGTAGATATATTGTTACCATGGTGATTTATGTTGGTTTATTTACATCATTTAAATGCCTAATGTGTTTGCTTGAGCTTCATTTGTTGAAATCTCTCTCTCTCTCTCTGTTGTGCGATGAAAAGATCTTGCGTGGGTTGCCTGTGTGACGAGCGCTGGAAAGACTAGTTTAACGCATCTCTGCTTGCCAGTTGCTGTTGGATCTGTCAGGTGAAAAAGGCGCGCACGAACCTGAGCATCCACGAGACCAAGAGCATCCGCGCGCAGAGCACTCGGTCACTTCGGGAATACAGAGGAGCGCGGAACTTTACAGCAGGTGGTGCATCTCGGTTTACGTCTAGGAAAAGTCCTGATGATGTGTGCAAGAATAGATAAAAGCAGTGACTCTTAAACGACGCTATCATTCAGATTGACGTCGAGGTTAATAAACAAACAAGACGCGCAATTTTTACGAAGGAAGCGGAGCGCAAGCGATGAACTGAAAGCTACCCGTTAAAAATGGGTTGAAGAAAAGAGAGGTGTAAGTAGGTTCTTTTTAACATGTGGAGCCATATGTGTCAGTTTTATTTTAAAAAGCATATTTGACAGATTATTTTGAAGAAGAGGAATAAGAAGGGCGCGCGCTCAGCGCGTGCAATTCTTTCATACTTTTAACGCTTTACTTAAAAATGCCTCCTTTGGTGCTTTATATAATGGCAGTTTATTGAAGTTGGACATTGCATATATGATTCAGCTTTATAGAATTTTACTTTTGTGCTAACGAAGAAAGCATTTTCTTCACTTTAATTTTACAGTATGTTGTCTCTGTCAAGCTATAGTGGATTTCAGGGATTGGATTTGTATCTTTTTGCTGCTGTTCCTCATTTTCCACTGTGCTACCTCAGCATGCGGGAATTGTGTGTAGCACAGCAAATCTCAAGATGACTGGATTTTGTAAAGACTGGGTTTGTGGAAACAGAAATGAACTTCAGATATCATTTCTTTAGACTTGTGTTTATGGTATAGTGTCAACACATGGACTGAAATGGATTTTTTGGTCAGTGAGCTCAGAACTGTTCATGCAATTCTTTTTCTTTCTATTACTTTTTCTGCATAGATTTTCTTTACAAACTTGAAGTACAATCACAGCTAATATAAAAAAGCTCTTGATCTTTGAACTCTTTTGCTGAAAACTGAAGTTATCCAACATTTTAACAGCTGGAAGGTTCACAGATGAAGATGCACTTGATGCCTGTAATAATGGTGCTCTAAATGTTCTTAGCTGTTGTTTTTCAAGTGTTGAGACTGAAGTTGAGATATATAGGATAAAGACAGCTCTATTAAGCTTCAACTTTTAGGCTCTATTGTTTTATCTCCCCCCCACTGAACCTCTCAGGTGGGGGGGGGGGAGGTAAGACCCAAACTATGGAGTCCAACCCAGACAGCCCAAGTCGGGCTGTGGAGTATCTTCTGGAGCTCAATAACATCATTGAGAACCAGGCCAAACTTCTAGACACCCAACGTAAACGCATTGAGGAGCTCGAGACGCAACTGGACCGGGTCAACCAGGAGAACCAGGACCTGCGGCATGACCGAACACCAACCGAGAACTCCACACAGATCCACAACTACAACCAGAGCTCGAAGCCGATCCAGCCGACATCTCTACCAAACCACAATGCTGGAGGTGTGCATCAGAACAGCAGCGGTAATGTCCCCTCATCCACGGTGCCTGGTCCAGCTCGCCGCACACACACGAGGCTGACCCGAGGCCTGTCATGTGGGTCGGCCCCTGTTGACAAAGATAGAGGCCGACTGGACCGGAATGACAGCTCTGGGACAAACAACACCTCCACCCTTTGGAAACAGTAAGTGCCTCATTCCTTTACTCACACTTTGTGAGGGCTGATGCGGGTTATTGGTTGTTTGGCCTTTTAAGGTAGCTTGCAGTATATGGTATTTGTGCTATCTATTTGTATTTATTTTTAGGGTATTGATTGGAATCTTGTTTCAAGAATATATCATACTTTGTGAAATCACACTAAACATGCACATGCACACATATACACACACACACACACACACACACACACACACACACACACACACACACACTTGAAGGCAAAATTATTAGCCCACTTTTGAACTCATAATTCTATTTCAAATGTTTCTCAAGTGCTGTTTAACACTGAGATTTTAACACATTTTTAAACATAATAGTTTTTCAAACTATTTTTTTTTAGTCTTTGACATAAAGACATAGTACATAAAGACATATTACAACGTACATACAAAGACTAGTACATAATATGTACTAGTTATCTTGCATTACACTTGTATCTAGCTTATAGTGCAGTTTAAAGGCTTAACTAGGTCACTTACAGAAAGTTAACTAGTCAAGTTAGTTAACAAGTAAGTTAGGTAAGTCAACGGTGGTTTGTTCTTTTTGAAATTGAAAAAAAAAATTAAAAAATCTTAAGAGTGCTAATATTATTGACCTTAACACATTTGTTAAATGTGGTTAAACTAAAAAAAGAAATCTATCTCCATAAGAAACAAATATCGGTCACACTTTACAATACGGTTCATTAGTTAATGTTAATTAATGCATTTACTAACATGAACCAACAATGAACAATGCATCTACTACTGTATTTGTTCATGCTAGTTAACGTTAGTTAATGAAAATACAGTTGTTCATTGTTAGTTCATGTTAACTCATGGTGCATTAACCAATGTTAACAAGCATGGATGTTAATAATGCATTAGTAAATGTTCAATTATGATTAATAAATGCTGTACAAGTGTTGTTCATGATTAGTTCATGTTAGTAAATGCATTAACTAATAAACCTTAATGTAAAGTGTTACCCAAATATATAATACGGTCAAAATTTCCATGGTCTGTCAAGCATCACTTGTTTGAAAAAGAATAAAAATTTAACATATACAGTACATACTAGGGATGTAACGATTCACAGTGAGCCAGTTAAAAATGTATTCAAATATGTGACTACTAAAACCAGTAGAAATGTTAAACGGATCACATTTTTTGAACAGAGAGGGCAATGAGTTTACAGGTGCAAACTCGCCATACCTGCACATCAGCGGCGTGCAAGAGGTGGGGCAGCAGACTTTACTAGACATTGTAAATGTGCACAGCTAATGCCAAAAACTTTTTTTAAAATGTCAAATCCCAGCACAGTCACAGTTTTAGAAAATATATTTCTATGGGGATGTAACGATTCACTGCGAAAATCAATTCAAATATGTGATGATTAAAACCGGTAGAAATGTTGAACAAATCGCGATACATCTTTTGAATAGAGGCGCAAACTCGATTTACCTGCACATCAGCGGCAAGCAAGAGCAAACTAAAATGACAGCGGTGAGGTGTGCCAGACAAAACACAAACTGTGTGCAAATACTGCAAAACCA